CGCGCCCCGCGCCCGGCGCCCGCGGCGTTTCTGGAGGGAGGGAGGGAGCGAGCGCGCGCGCGCACGCGCCTCCGACTCTGCTCTCAGCCCTGTGAGAGGAATCTCCTCCAAAACCCGCCTTTCTGCGTGTCAATCTTCCGAAAACCCAACCTATACGGCGTCTGATTGGGTGGGTGGGTGGGGCCAAAGCAAGAGGGCGGGGCGAATGGGACCTTGGGCCCGCGTGGAGGGGAAATTCAGGTTCAATTAGTTAGGCGCTTGAGGAAACGGGCAGCCAAGCTCTGCCCCTGCTCGGAGCCAGATCCCTGTGTGTCAGCCGGCCGGCGAGTACAGAACACGTGTTTTCACGGAAGTCAATATATCGTAATTACTAATCAAAATCCCACTATCTGCGGAGGGGGGGGGGAGTTGCTTTAGGAAAAAAAACTACATCTCCCAGGAGCCTCCGCGAAAATGAGTCTCACCTTGCGTAATCACGTACTCCTTCGCCGTGGTGGGACAAAATAATCCCCCTTTTTTTTTCTTTTCTTTCTTTCTTTCTCCCCCCCCCTTTCCTGAAGGGAGCGGGAGGGATAATATTTCATTTTTTCTCCTCCCCGGAAGAATTTCCAACTATTACCACTATAAAATAGAAGTTGCTTCTAACCGGAGGTGATTTAAGACCATTAGATAAGGAAGGAGAAGGAAAAGATTATCTGAAATCAAAGTGCTGCGGAGGAATTTCGTCCTAGCCGTGAGAGCACGGAGCGGGGAGAAGGACGACGACCGAGAGGGGCCGCGGGGAGCGTGCTCGGAGCCGGGGTCTCGCCAGGCCTCGGGCCCCGCCGGCCTGGCCCTGCCGTCGGCAGGTGAGTGAAGCCAGGCGGCCCCGGGGGGGGGTGCCGGGGGCCCGCCGGCGGGGCCGCCCTCCCACAGCCCGTCCCTTTGAACTTCCCCCCTTTTACCGTTGTTACTGGCGGGGGGGGGGGGCTTGCGGCCCAGCTTGAATGGGGGCGCTTCACTTCCGGCGGGGGGAGGGGAGGGGACGCCGTCACTGTGGAGGAGGGGGGGGCATAACTCACTTCCTGTGCCGGGGCAGGAGGTGGGGGGTACTGTTGTGTGTGGAAGGGGAAGGTGATGGCTTGGGGGTGACCTGCCCCCCCCCGTTTCCTCTGCTTGATAAGGTGGGTTTTGGGGGAGAGGGCGGGAAAGGGAGGGGTGTGTGTGTTTAATATCAAAAGTTAATTCACCCAAGTTTGTGCTGATCACTACACACACACACACACACACACACACACACGTGAACTTGGGTGTTTTTGCTTCCACGTGTAAGACGGGAAAATTGTCTCCCCACCGCCTATCCCCAACAAGATTTTCCTAATGCTTTCTCCAAATAACTTGAATCTCCTGTTCAAAACTCTGAGGACTACGGATTTTGTAGTGTGACTGGAGGTAAAAAACACACCTTCGCTCCCCAGCTCAAGTTCATCCTGGATTGAATGAGCTAGAATGTTCTCTGCCTTGACATGCAACTGGAACTCTGTAAGGAGGTGGTTTATTAGAAGACTGAATAGTTACAGACATGACCCGAACGTTTCCATCTTGGCAAAGGGAAAGCATCTTACTGCAATCATTCATTCTGGTGCTGTTTTTAATATTACTGGTATCTTACATCCACATTTTGTCTTGGGGCTATAGGTTTTGCCCTGTGCCTCATGACACTTCCTCAGCCTTAAAGAAAAAAATCTGCTGCAGAAACATGGGGTTTTTTTTTGTTGTTGTTAGTGGTGGTAGTGTTCATTTTTGCCTTGGTTTTTTAGAGAGAAGAAAGGTGGGCACAAAAAGGGAGGGTAGAGAGTAAACAAATATAATCGTGCTATTCACTTTACACTATGTGGAAAATGACCTATGTAACTTGTGGTTAGGAATTAGAGGGGAAAGTGAAGGAAGGGGTGACATGGTCCAGAAAAAGAAATGTATTCATTACCTCACTTACAAAATGGTCCCTTCTGTACAACACTTTAGTAATAACAATAAAATTATAGTTTTTAAAAAATCTGTCCTGCCAGGCGCCAGTGACTCATCATACCTATAATCCTAACTACTCAGGAGGCTGATGTTTGAGGATCCCAGTTGGAAGCCAGGCTGGACCAGAAAGGACATGAGACTCTTATCTCCAATAAACTACTCAGAAGAAGCCAAAAGTAGTGCTATAGCTGAGGTTGAAGAATGCCCTGGCCCTGAGTTCAAGCCCCAGAACCTGCAAAAAACAATCTGCCTTGACTTGGAGGTGTGGTTCAGTTGGTAGAGCACTAGCATCAGGTACTGAATTTGAGTCTGGGTCTCAGACCTAAAAATAACAAAAACTGCCATTTGTAGCCATTTGTACAAGGTGTATTTTCCTCCATTTTCTGTCTTTATGATTTAATTTAGCATCAATTTTTAAATGATGCCTGTTCTTTATGGGTTTATTTGCTTTGATACCAGTACTGGGCTTGAACTCAGGGCCTGGGTGCTGCCCCTTAGTTTTTCCCTTAAGGCTGATGATCTACCACTTGAACCACAGCTCTGCTTCTGGCTTCTTGCTGATTAATTGGAGACAAGACTTTCATGGACTTTCCTGCCCTGGTTAGCTTCAAACCAGAATCCTCCAATCTCAGCCTCCTGAGTAGCTAGAATTACAAGTGTGAGTTACTTAACATCCAGCTTTCTTTGTGTTTTATTTTGTTTTCTGCCAGTGCTGGGGCTTGAACTCAGGGCCTGAGCACTGTCCCTGAGCTTCTTTTGCTCAAGGCTAGCATTCTACCATGTGAGCCACAGCACCACTTCTGGCTTTTGCTGTGTATGTGATGCTGAAGAATCAAACCCAGGGTTTCATGCATGTGAGGCAAGCACTCTACATTCCCAGTCATCTGTGGTTTTCAAGCATGGAGCAAAGCTCATGAGCTCAGTCCATATTTTAAGGAAAGGGAAATATTATTAACAAATGACAAAACTGTTACGTATTTAAATATGTAGGTTTAATTAGGTAGCTGGTAAAGAGAACACCACGTGCTTTCAGGCAGGAAAAGGAGTTTATGTTACTGAACTGCCTGCCCCTGCCATGCAAGGTGGAGACCACATGGCCAAAGGAATGGGCGGCTGAGGTCTGACCTGGGTTTAAGTAGAGAAGGGGAGAGGAGAAGGTGCAGCCAGGTGGGGGAAGGTGTGGCCACACTGGATGCAGATATGACCTCAGAGCCTGGTCTGATGGGAAGGGGGGGGCGGGGGCAGCTGGGGATGTGACTTCCAGGTGTGCCAGTTACCTAGGTGACACAGGTACTGGGCAGAGACTTAGCCAAGAGGAGGGAGGAACCTGCCTCGCCTTCCCAGGGTGAACCTTACAAAAATGAATAACAGCTGCTTTCCCATATTTGTGTGTGTGCGTGTGTGAAGCTGTCATCTGAGATGGCAGTAAATACTCTCAACTTCAATTTCTTGGCCTCTGTCGAAGAGTTATCCAGGTGTATGGATAAAGAAAGAATCAATCTATTGGAGCTTACATTATGGAATCCTCAACAGATTCATTAATTTTAGGATATCTTCAAGTGAGCCTACACTTTTTTCAAGAACTTAAGGCTTGTGTATATCTTCCTTTGGGATGAGTTTGCAATTCATTCTAGTTCTTTTAAAAAGCTGTTTGGTTTAGTTATTTGCAAAATGTTCTAGAAACTAAAAGTGATCATAGGAATATTTTAAACTATTTTGTTTTGGTTTTAACTTGACATCTCCAGCTGGAATGTAGCTCAGGGGTAGAAGCATTTGCCTAGCATGCATGAAGTCTTTAGTTCAATTCTTAGCATTGCAGAAATAAACATCAGAGAGGGCAAGAGGACATTTAACCTTGCATGGAAGCGTTGGGGTTCATCTCCAACACAACAGTTCATCTCCAACACAACAGTACAGTATGTAATCAGTCTGAGACTCTAAAATCAATTATCTGTTGAAAGACTGCAGAATTGCTACCATAAGCTGACTAAAAAAGACAAGACTAGGGGCTGGGAAGGTGGCTCAGTGGTAGAGCGCTTGCCTTGCATGCCTGAGGCCCTGGGTTCGATTCCTCAGCACCACATAAGCAAAAAGAAAAAAGCCGGAAGTGGCACTGTGGCTCAAGTGGTAGAGCGCTAGCCTTGAGCTGAAGAGCAGAGGGACAATGCCCAGGCCCAGAGTGCAGGCCCCACAACCGGACCCAAAAAAAAAAAAAAAGACAAGACTAAATGAGCCTGTGTTCTTAATAGAAGAGGAGGGCCATGTAGACCATCTTAAGTAGTTACTAATAGCCTCAAAAGAAAGTGTGCCAGAGCCAGGCACTGGTGGCTCACGCCTGTTATCCTAGCTACTCAGGAGGCTGAGATCTGAGGATCACAGTTCAAAGCCAGCCAGGGCAGCAAAGTCCGTGAGACTCTTATCTCCAATAAACCACTAGAAAACCAGAAGTAGTGCTGTGGCTTAAGTAGTAGAGCACTCACTTGAGCTGAAGAGCGCAAGGACAGTGCCCAAGCCCAGAGTTCAAGCCCCACAACCGACCAAAAAAAAAAGTGTGCCAGTATCTTCTATATAACTCTCCTATACAAAATGATGGGATCACCCTGAAAAATCAAACTATTAGTATTAGGAATTAAAGTATTAGGAATTGCTGAAGTATGGAAAAATTGTAGGACTGAATGAGAAAAAGAAAATACTTTCAAAATACTGGCTGAAGCCAGGTACTCATGGCTTACTCCTGTAATCCTAGCTACTTTGGAGGCTGAGATCTGAGGATCGTGGTTCAAAGCCAACACAGGCAGGAAAGTCCATGAGATTCTTATCTCCAATGAACCACCAAAAAGCCAGAAGTGGGCTGGGAACGTGGCTTAGTGGCAGAGTACTTGCCTAGCATGCATGAAGCCCTAGGTTCAATTCCTCAGTACTACATACACAGAAAAAGCCTGAAGTAGTGCTGTGGCTCAATTGGTAGAGTGCTAGCCTTGAGCAAAAGAAACTCAGGGGCAGTGCCCAGGCCCTGAGTTCAAGTCCCAGGACTGAAACATAAATATATTTATTTATATTTATAGTCATATACAAACACACACTGAGATTCAGTAGTATTGTTTTTGGAATCTGTCTTTGGAAAGCAAAGGAGTTTATTAACTTGGCCCTCCAGATTCTCCATGGAAGACATGTAGTATAATAGAAATAAGAAAAATTGCTGCAGCTGAAAGACTCGAGAAGCTTGAAGAACTGTCTGTAGAGAAGGAAGCAATATATAAAGTAAATATCTGGAAGAAGATGTCTTGTGATAAGTGACAGTTATTCATTGGCTCCATCAAAGAAGAAATATTAGAAAAGCTTGTGACAAATAGAGAAGAGTAGTCTGTGGAGCCTCTTTTAAAGTGCTGCTCTGAAGAAGCTATCTTCCAAGATGGTGTGTTTTGTTGTTTTTTTAAATGCCTTTTGTTGCATGTTCTTTGCATTTTATAATAGAAGGATGTCACATTTAAGGTGGGGGAAAAAACTGTCTGTAAATACTCAAGAGACTGAGATCTGATTTGAAGCCAGCCTGGGCAGAGAAATCCACTCTACTCCATCTTCAAAAGAATCAGCAAAAAACCAGGCTGGAGGTATGGCTCAAGTGGTAGAGCACCAGCCAAGTGAGCAAACAAGCCAAGCAGGTAGGCATGAAGCTTAAGTTCAAATACCAGTACAGGCCAAAACCATAAAAAAAAGAGGTAGTGTTCTTCTAAGACTTCATTATTTCAACAGAAGTTCAGCACCTGTCGATGTCCTGAGGACTTCAAATACAAAATGCCTGAATCCTCTTGGAGTTTACTTTTTTTGTTTCCAAACTAGG